TCCAAATTGGGTAAAGATGAGAATCCAGCACTGTTTTTATATTCAAAATCAATTTATAAAGTCTGAAAAAAAATGACCAAGGATATGGCACAACACTATTGACTATTATGCCATGGAATATGAAAATGTGTGTGGCAAAGCAACAGAGAACCAAAGAAAATCCCTACTCAGTTGGATTTGGCAAAACCATAATTAAAGTGACAAGATGCATATACTAATAGAGGCTTCTTTACATATTAAGCCAAACTATCTTTGCCACTGGAAAAATACAACGTATTTTATTTTGTGTGCCTTGGAAAATAAACTTATTTGGAAATAAGTATTAGTTTAACGGCATTTACTGTAAAAACTACTAAGTGGCACTGGCTGGATGGCTAAGTTGATTAGAACATCATCAGTTCACCAAAAAGGCTGTGGGTTCCATTCTGGGTCAGGGTACATAACCAGATTGCAGATTTGATCCCTGGTCAGAGCACAAAAGGGAGACAACCAATGTCTCTGTCTCTCTGTCTGTCTTTCTCCCTTCCTTTCTCTAAAATCAGTAAAAAGAACCTTGGGTGAGGATTAAAAAAAAAACTACTAAAGTGAACCAGCTAATCTATAATAACAAAAGGGTAATATGCTAATGAGACTGGATAGCCAAAAGACCTTCCGGACATCCTTCCAGATGAAGCTGCTACACAGAGCAGGGCCCAAAGCAGAGAGGATTAGGGCAATCAGGCAGGTAGGTGAGCCGTTAGGGGCGATCAGGCAGGCAGGCAGGCAGAATGGTTAGGGATGATGAGGCAGAAAGGCAGAATGGTTAGGAGTGATCAGGAAGGCAGGCGAGTGATTTGAGGTGATCAGGCAGGCAGGCAGGTGAGCAGTTTGGATCCAGTTGTCCCAGATTGACAGAGGGATGTCCTGGTTTGCGAGAGGGTGCTGGGCAAGCTGAGGGACAACCCCCAGCTCCCTGTGTTCATGAATTTTGTACATCGGGCCTATAGTCTATCTATATATATAAAAGGATAAGTGACTGGCAGGTAGGTATGACACACACTGACCACCAGGGGTCAGACACTCAACACAAGAGCTGCTAAGCAACAGCAACTTTGCAGAGTGCCCTCTCACACTCCGGGATCCCTTGAGGAATGTTGGGCTGCTGGTTTCAGCCCAATCCCTGCAGGCCAGGCTGAGAAGCCCTGCCTGCCAGAAGGACTCCACTCACTCCACAGATGCCCTTCAAGCCCAGGCACCGCCTCTCTAGTAATATTTTAATTAACATAACCTGAAACTCCGAGAACTATGTATACAAAAAGGTTTCCATGGACAAATTTTTCTTGAGCCTTTCCATAAGAATTTTAGAAGTTTTATTTGAAGACACTTAGATCAAAATTTGCCATGCCATGTTAGACCAGATGAATTTAATTTATATTTTTAGTGCATTTCACCAAAAAGCAACAGAATATGCAGTCTTTTCATATGGGACCAGGGAAATAATAAAAATAGATTTCAAATAATAAAAATAGATTTCATTATATGGATGAAATATAATGGGACCAGCATTATCTATAATAGCCAAGATATGGAAGCAACCTAAGTGCCCATCAATAGACATTTGAATAAAAAAAATTAAGCTGGAATATTACTCAGCATTAAAAAAGGATGAAATCTTACCATTTGCATCAACATAGATGAGCCTAGAGGGTATTATACTAAGTAAAATAAGTCAAACAGGGAAAAACAAATACCATATGATTTCATTTATATGTGAAATCTAAAGAACAAAATAAAATAAAAAGAGGCTCATAGACACATAGAACAAACTGATGATTGTCAAATGGGAGGGGAGTTAGGGGGGAAAAAAGGGAAAGGGAAAGGGATTAAGAAATACAAATTGGTAGTTACAAAGCAATCACGGGGATATAAAGTAGAACACAGGGGGAAATAGTCAATAATATTATAATTTAGTGCTAGGTGGGGGAATCACTTCATAAATAATATAAATATCTAACCACTATACTATACATCTAAAACTAACATAATGTTGAATGTCAACTGTAAAAACAAAACAAAACAGAAAAAAAACACACCTGTCATGAAAAGAACAAAATATAGAAAAAAGCAATAAAACTTTCCAGTAAAAATATGAGTCCACTTGAAGCTTAAGTTAGAGATGAAGGCTCTCCAAAAACAAGGCCGAGGTCTTCATTATACTTTTTTACTAAAGCTGAATTTTTTTACATTTTTTAATTACATAATTCCAAATAATTTCAGACTGTACTATGTAGATAAAATATTTAGAGAAGAATATGGACAAATCACTTTTGAAATACAGTATTTGTGCTTGCTATTTTAATTGCAAACAACTAAGATTTTTTTCTGCAATGTATATAGTTTTTTTGAAATAGGAGTTTCATGAAAATTAAAAACAAAATAAAGAACTGAGTGACTGATGGTAACAAGGTAGGTGGTGAACAATATAGATAAAAGGAATATTTCTCAAGGACATGAGAAACAACAAAAGTTAAAAAACATGTAAAAGAAGAAAAGCAAAACAGACTAAAAAATGTCAATGAGATAGTAAAAGATGTAGCAGAAAACATGTCACAAACTACAAAAGAACAGTTTCTATAAGGAACGAAGATAGTTAATAATATCTAACAACCCAAAACATCAGTGTGACCAACACAAAAAAGGTCAATGAATTTGGCACCTAGAATCCTTCACTGAAGCAATTTTGGTTCAGGAGTGAAAGGAGAATCCAAATTACACTGGTTTGGAAAATATATGGAAGTATGAAAGTGGAGGCAGCAAGAATAAATGATGGTTTCATAACTGTGCAAATAAATAGAAAAAAGTTAAAGATAAAAATAAGATACTGTAGTAAACTGAAGCCAAGGAAAAGACACTGGAAGTATTTTTTACATTTCTTTTTAAGAGTTAGGGGAAAAGAGGATATGTTTTATGTTTGAGAGAGTCTATGGAAAAAAAGAGAATAGATATAAGGAAATAAGAAGAAAGATCTGATTTGCGGAGCAAGGTTTTTTTTTTGTTTGTTTGTTTGTTTTAACTAGTAAGGGATAAAGAAAATGGCAAGATGTAGCCTTGGCAAAGAGCTGGAACATTCGTTTCATTGAAGCAAAAGGAAAGTAAAGATGAGTGGCTAAGAGAGAAAGAAAAAAAGACATTGTAGATTTGACTGAAGAAACACCTTCATGAATTAGATTAGTATAATTAATCACGCAAGAGGGTCTTATTCTGGTTTTATAAAATGTATTTACACCCCACAAATGGCTTATTTTTAAGAGATTCAAAGAGCCCTAACCAGTTTGACTCAGTGGATAGAGTGTCAGCCTGTGGACTCAAGGGTCCCAAGTTTGATTCCAGTCAAGGGCATGTACCTTGGTTGCTGACACATACCCAGAAGGGAGTGTGCAGGAGGCAGCTGATCCATGTTTCTCTCTCAGTGATGTTTCTAACTCTATTCCTCTCCCTTCCTGTCTGTAAAAAATCAATGAAAATATATATTTTTAAAAAGATTCAAAGATAAGGGAATTTTTCAGAAATATCATTAAAGTTTGCAATTTAAATACAGAGAAAAATGTCAGGGAGTAGAAATAGGAAAGAGAATCTTGTTTTTAAAAAGCCTCACCTTCATCTTTCTACCTATGACAGAAATTTTTAGCATCTAAAAAGATAAATGGAATCTTAACATATCAACAAAGAAGAAATATGTGTTCTTTTCTCATTTTCTACACATACACAACTCTGCACTGAAATTCTACTTTGCACTGACAGTAGTATAGATTAATGTAATCAGTATAGTGCTTTAAAGGACCTGAAACGCTTGACATCACGCTATGATAACATGGATCAAATAGGACTCCATGGAAAAGGCAAAAAGGAGTAATCATAATAGATACATTTATTGACTTCTTACCTTGTGCCAAACACTGTTCTAAGTGCTCTTTGTATGAACTCATGCAATGTTTACAACAATCCTTTATATTAGATAACTATCCCAATTTTACAGATAAGAAATCTACCTAAGAAAATTCAAGCAATCTGGGGTTTCACGCCTCATATTTTAACTCCTAGGCTACAGTGCATAAATAGCTCTGAGATTGAAATGAGAAGATCTGGCATCAAATTCAAGTATCATCACTTACTAGTGGTTGACCCTAGAGAAATCACATTCCCTATTTACAGTTCATTAGAATAATCTGCTGGGGGTAAACCCAAAGCTATTTGTAAATCAGACAGGTGTTTTTCTAAATAGTAAATATATATGACATTATTATTAGAGAAGAGCCACTACATAAAATGCATATGGTATTAACAATATCATTTTCCAAACCCTACCAGAAATGCTCACTTTCATTTACATTATCATATGCAAAACCAGCAACTTTTAAATGCAGGTTTTCAGTTCTTTTCTACCAGCTTCTCTTACTAATTTACTTACTCATAAAAATGTAAAGCTTCTACCATAGTACCTCTGACACATGTAAACAGCAGTAGAGGTAGTTGTTTTTATTATCACTAGTTCAACCATTAGCAGAATCACCAAACAAACTCAAATTTAAAGATATGTGTGTAGATTTGTGTATGTGAAATAATTCAAAGGTTCTTCACACTGTGCAACTTTCCCTTCATCATTCATGCTGCACCTGCTAATATAATATGATTAGCCTAAATGTCTCTGATGAGATTTTATTTAAATTAAAACAATATATTTTTTCCTCCTCATTCCCCTGGTGGCTCCTTTCACAGTCATTTCTCTTCCAGTCAAAATGTGGTTGGTCTGACTGTTGCTTTCTGACTCTCCTTACTGTCTTTTGAAGCAAAGAACTTTCAGTTCACTTTTCTGGTAAACTAAAAACTCCTGACATTTTATGTACTTTTAACTAGATTTCTAGACATTGCTTTCCTGGAATAAGTTCTATCATTTCAGCTCAAAATAATGTTTGCATACAATGCTCTATCAAAAGTCTTTGTTTTAGTACAATCATACTGACCTTGAGGTGAGACTGAAGGAAACAGCAAATCCAGGAAGAAAATGTGAAAGAGAAAGTTAGAAAGAATTAATAAAAACCATATTCAAGAATAATATTATCCACAGATATAGACAAACAAAGGACAAGATTAAAGAAGGGGAAGGAGTCGTAGATTCTGCACAGGCACTAAAAAATTAGTAATTTCAGATTTTCAACTCTCAACAAATGTATTTTTACACTAGGTTACATCACTATACCTTAATGTAGTTTCTACAGAAAAATTTTTTTATCTAAAACTTGCCACTTTCTGGGACAGGGAAAAACTATTGTAGTAAACCCCAAGAAAAAGAAGAAAAAGTTAATGCTCCCCCTTTCCATCTAAGTAGCTAAGTGATTTCACAACTCTGGCAGCTTAGTTATACACACCTTATAAGTGACTACTCCTTTATCCACCCCACTCTATTTCTTGGATCCAAGTTACCCATAAGCAAATACAGAAAAACACTGACAACTTTGGATATTTTGTAGAATACAGGACTCTAATTTATTTGGAAGAATTCGATACAATTTTCTCAAATGTGAAATCTACAATTTCCCCCCAAATGCAAGCATTATTTTTCACTTCAAACCTACCAAATTTCACCTCAAATGATGCAATCTAAAAGCAATAGGAAAAAATATAAGGCTCTATAAACATCAATTCATTTCCAATACTGCTCAGCAATAAAAGAACAAAGTAGCCATGCTTAATACTCCTACACAGCATGAAACCTGTGATTCATTATACTTTTTATAATAGACAGTTTACCTTTTCAAAACTAAATCACTGTCACTGAAATTACTATTATCCTACAGATACTTAGATTTTTAATGGCCAGTGTCATCAATGTTATCTTATAAGTAAGATCTAAATTTTACTTAAACATATTTCTGAATGCAAGCACCATTTCAATTTGTATTTTAATTTTTTCTAATGTTTCAGTACTTAAAACAAATTTTTAAAAGTCATGAGAATAATGAAATAAGATTTTTATCCTCATTATATAACATAAAAAAATGAAAAACAAAGAAAAATTCTAAATTCCTCACAATCACACAGTAAGTGGTAGATCTAGGATAAGAATATAAGTTTGCTGACATAATATCAAGGCATACTTTAAATGTTTTGTGATGCTTATAGATGCCTATCTATAAAAATCCAAGACACTTTGGCACATATAATACAGTGCAGAATACAATATTCAAAGTTAAAAAGAGGGTAAATGATTGTCCCAATTATCTTTTTACTGCTTATGATGAAGTAATTTAGAATTATTTCAGATCAACAATGACACTAACTGAAATCTATAGATGCAAGGCTTTATATAAGACATGGGTAAATACATTTTTAAAAAATAAGCTTATTCCTGTCAACAGTGAGCAACTTTAAGAATCTTTTTATCTATTTTACTGTTCATGAGCCATATTTCACTTGGGCATCAAACTGTAGCTTTGGGGAAATTAATTTAGAAGAAATATATGCACATAAAAAGACAACATATAATTCTAGTGTATATACTTTTAATTAAAAATTTAAGTACTATTAAATTCCTATCAAGACTGTAGCAACATATTATTACAGGTGCTGTACCCACAAAAAACTTTTACTCAGAATTGACTATGTAAAGCTGTGTAATTTATTCTTCTTTTAAATTAAATCAGTGAAATTTAAGAAACAAGAAGAAACAAGCAGTTCCCAGAAAGCAAGCTAAAGTAAGCAGGATCAGATGAGAAACCAGTCATGTTCAGTTGTGACTTAGCATCTTTCTTTTCTTTTTTTCTTTTGTTTTTCTTTTAAATACAGTTTATTCTCCATCAACCAGGGACACACAATCATCATAGAAGCACCAGTCATTTCTGTTCAACTATATTAAGGCTATATTCTCTGACACTGTACTTCATGAATCAAATCTATAATCATAAATTTTAAAATAAAAAAATTATTCTCTAAGGAACCATTTTCCACTGCCAAACCTATATACAGATTAATATTAATTCCTATATGGAAGATATTTTAAGACATTAAACTGACTATCAATTCAAGAGTTTCTTATGAAGATATACTTACAGATATGAAAATACATAGGTTTACATTTCAGGTTACACTGTGCCATAGATGCCCAAATATACTGTGATATCAATATAAAATAATCACAAACATAAAGTCCATTTTCCCAATGAAAAGATTTAAAAAAAAAATTTAGATTTTTAAATAAATAAACTAGAGGCCCGGTGCACAAAATTTGTATATGCGTGGGGTGGGGGGGGATTACCCCTCAACCCAGCCTGCACTCTCCAATCTGGGACCCCTCAGGGGATGTCCGACTAATTGGGCCTAAACTGGCAGTTGGATATCCCTCTCACAATCCTGGACCACTAGCTCCTAATCACTCATCTGCCTGCCTGCCTGGTGGCTTCTAACTGACCCCCTCTGCCGGCCTGATCACCCCTCACTGCCCCTGCATTCCAGCCTGATCAACCCTTAACTGCCTCCCCCTCCCAGCCTGGTTGTCCCTAACTGTCCCCCGCTGCCAGCAGGTCGCTCCCAACTGCCCCTCCCCACTGGTCAAGTCACCCCTCACCACCCCCCCACCTGCCAGCCTAATCACCTCCAACTTCCTCCCCTGCTGACTGGACACCCCTAACTGCCCCCCCCTCCCCCCGCCCCACTGGCCTGTCACTTCTTACTACTCCCCCAACCCCCGCCAGCCTGGTCACGCCACACAGCCTGCTTGTTCAGTCATTTGGTTGTCCCTCACTAACATCCCTGCAGGCCTTGTCACCCCATGCAGCCTGCTTATTCAATTGTTTGGTTGTACCTCACTAACCCCCCTGCAGGCATGGCCATAGGAAACCACCTTGTGAAGGTGTGAGGGTTAATTTGCATATTATCTCTTTATTATATAGTATAAACTTTCAGGATCTAGATAAAATATTTACATATCTAATTGTAACAATATATTAATTTGGTTACACACATTTTAAATAAAATACATGAGAAAATAATGTTAATATGTTAATACTTTTTTAAAATATATTTTTATTTATTTCAGAGAGGAAGGAAGAGGGAGTGAGAGATAAAAACATCAAATGAGGAGAGAGAATCACTGATCTGCTGCCTCTTGCACATCCCACACTTAGGATCAAGCCTGCAACTCAGGCATGTGTCCTGACAGGGAACTGAATCATGACCTCCAGATTCATAGGTCAATGCTCAACCATTGAGCCACACTGGCAAGGCTTAAAATACTTTCTTCCACTCTCACATTCAGTGAAAGAATTTTATCTACTCTCTTTGCATGCACTTTTAACATCAATTTAGTAAGAATAGAAGATCTACCATTACTTTATGCATCATTAAGAAAGAAAATAAATTATATCAAGGCAATTATGCAATGCCATTATTCATATATGTATTCTAGTTCCAGAAATGTTAAACTGTAAAAATAAGAGTTAAAACTGGTATTTCATTGTGACAAAACAGGAAAATGGTTATCTATGTTTTATTTACCCTGCAGATTGCAAAGTAATCCAACTGAATTCCATTAAATTGTAAGAACATTATAGCATACCCTAGCTGGCTTGGTTTAGTGGATAGAGCATTGGCTTGCAGACTGAAGGGTTCGGTCCTGGTCAAGGGCACATACCTTGGTTGCAGGGTCCTCCCAGGCCCAGTCCCTGGTTGGGGCTCATGCAGGAGGCAACCAATCAATGTGTTTTTCTCATATTGATGTTTCTCTCTGTCTTTCCCTCTCTAAAAATCAATGGAAAATATTCTCAGGTGAATATCACTAAAAATCATATCAATACTGGTGTTTTTAGAGATGCATATTTAAAAGGCGGGTAACCAAGCAAAAGGAATAAGAAATAAAAAAAATTTCAGGGTTTTCAAAGATTAAAGGACATACAAGAAAGTATGTCTTTTCTTCTCATTTGCTAAACCCTCTGCTAAATTTTAAATCACCCCAATATGAAACCTATATTCATTAAAATCCTAGTTTTCATATTCCCACAATTTGAGGAACACAGTAAATTACTATTTTCTAGCAATTTGTTAGGTTATACAATAATATATTCTATTCTTCTTTAGATCAATGAAAATTCCTAACTTTTATAAACCAAAGGCAATCCTTGATACCTACACTATATGAAAATCAGAAGGTAATTGCCATTCTCTACATGTAAAAGTTTCTGAATGATAAATTGAATCTAACCTAAGTAACCCTCATATTAGAGTGAAGTGAGGGCTTCTGCTGCAAATACAGAACTCCGTGGGTTCATTAATTTATCTGTATTATGAAGCAAAACCCAACATATGACATGGGGAACAATTCTTCCAGTATACTGCCATAACATGAGTATTTAGCTAAAAAGAATAGCATGAGTGAAAACACAGGCAAGGAACAATTCTTTTGTGAGTCTGAAAAGATGTTAATATCAGAATTCTATCAGAATTTTAGTACATTACTAAATATGTTAAACATTATGCCAAAGAAAAGTCCATTTATTATGAAGCTTAAAAAAAAAAGCCTTTAATATGCTTGCTTTAGAATTTTTTAATTACATTCAAGGTTCCTGAAGCTAATCCGAATTGATCTAGTTATATGAGAACATGTGAAGTTCTAGTTTTTTGTTTTATTGTGTTATTGTGGTTGTTTTCCTTAAATTGATCTGAAAAGACTATTCAGAACCAATGGCTTTCTTGAAGTGTCAACTTCGCAGTGGTACAGGGCCCAGTTACTTAAACACTAACCTGGGTGTTGCTGTGATGGTAATTTGCACATATAATTAAAATCTGTAATCTATTTAAATAAATGATATTATCCCAGATCATGGGAGTGGGCATAACTGAATCCTTACAAAGACACTAAAAGCAGGGCTGAGGGTTCTCCAAGAGAAAAAAAAATTCTGCCTGTGGACTACAATTATGCCCCATGGCCATGGGAGCTTTATCCTGCCAGCGATCTCTTCCTGACAGATTTCATACTTGGTTAGCTAGCCCCCCGACAATAATGCAAGACAACTATTTGTAATAAATTTCTTTATATGTGTGTATGTATGTGTATCTATATAATAAAATCCTAAGGGACTATTATGGTAGAACAACCAGAACGCAGAGTGACCAATCGCTATGATGCACAATGAACAGGAGGGGGCAGACGCTCAGAGCAGGAACTGCCCCCTGGTGGTCAGTGCACTCCCACAGGGGGAGCGCCACTCAGCCAAAAGCTGGCAAGCACAGCAGTAATGGCGGGAGCCCTTCTGCTTCTGCAGCAGCGCTAAGGAGCAGTGAGCCAAGTAGTAAGGAGCCAACAGGCAGGTAGTAAGGAGCAAGGGATCCCGGACAGCAAGAGGGATGTCTGACTGCTGGCTTAGGCCTGATCCCCAGGGGAATCTGGCCTAAACTGGCAGTCGGACATCTCCCAAAGGGTCCAACTGTGGGAGGGCACAGGCTACGCAGAGGAAACCCCCCTTCCAGTGTGTGAATTTCATGCACCAGGCCTCTACACACACACATATATATATATACACACTATGATTCTTTGTAATAAACATATACATGGTGTACATCATATACATATGTATGTATGTATGTATGTATTTCTCCTATTAGTTATACCTCTCTAGTTGAAATCAAAGTGATATACACCACTTTCAGAATAGGAAAGAAAACTGTGAGGGTTAAACTTGGTTTTTTTAGTTTCTTGAAAAAAAAAAATCAAACTTCTATGAATATAGAATATGATAATAACTTCTAGAGGAAAATATCAGGTCTACCACTAATTCAAAAAATTACAACTTAATAAAACAACTTGTGAAAATAGTCTAATACTTCCCAACCTTCAAGAAAATAAAAATAAAAATATTTCTAAGAATCAGGTTCCAAAGAACCATATAGATTAGTGACTTCATTCTGTCACTGTCAGTTTTTCTGACTGTTCAGAAGAATAGGGGTGATTAAGGAAGTTCTATTGGAAGAACTGTTTCTACAAACTTGTGAATTTATGTTAACTATGTGGTAGGTGTAAAGAAGTCAAAAGGCATAAGCTTAGTCTCTAGTATAATACACCCTAATAAAAGAAAACAAAAGAAAAAAACAATTCCAAGAGAACTGACTAAATCTGTTCAAACACAGCATATTTTGAAGAATTCAAAGTCAGAGCTCATAAATATCATATCTAGGTCTCCTAAATTGCCTTCAAAATATACTCCTTCTTCTAAATTTGGTCTATGCACTGATGTATGTAATAGCCTGCTTTTCTACAATACAAATTGTAAAAGTTGAAAAATACATAGCCCAAAGTACCATCAGCTCAACACACAGGTCTGAACCAATGAAAAGTATTAACTCCTTGAACTTGAGGCTCATTTGTTCTTTACATAGATAAATAATTAAGAAGCAAGTGGCTTTTTATACTCTTTTGATTAACCAGTAAAAAATTTTAATTTATTAATCAATGAATGCTTTTTTTAACCAATAATGATGAAGTCCATGGCTCCCAATTTATTCCCATTCTGTGTTGCCTTTTAGAGACTAAACAATGAATTTACACTGACTTAGAAAAAAGTGGATAATAAAGTAACATCAGGCACTCATGAACCTACATTCAGAGAAGCAGATATACTGAAGAGCATACCCTCAAAAGTATATGTTTTTAAAACGATACTTTAGAGCTTTTCAAAAAAGTGAAACCTTATTCAGCTTCCCTTTTCTTACCTTTCCAACTCAGCGATCTTTTTATCTTTGTCATTCTTCTCATTTTCCACCTCCTTCAAGATTTCCAAGAGGCGGTCAACTTCTGCCTGGGCCTTGCTAGATTCATCTTTGTACCTGGCAATCTCTCTCTCCAATTGCTGTATTCGGTCATTCATCTCTGGACTAGCTCTAGCTTCCAATGTTGCCTCATGTGCCTACAAAGAAAAGTGTTCAAATTCTATCAGATATACATACAATGTATAAAGATCAGATAAAAAATAAGTGAAATAAAAACTAAAAAAGACAATAGGAAAGATCAATCAAGATAAGAGCTGGTTCTTTGAAAAGATAAAATAGATGAACCATTAGCTAGACTAGTCAAGAAAAAAAAAGAGAGCACTCAAATACGTAGAATCAGAAATAAAAGAGAAGTTACAAGTGGTACTAGAGAAATACAAAGGATCATGAGACTACTATGTAAAATTATACACCAACAAATTATACATCTAAGAGGAAATGAATAAATTCCTATAAACATACAACCTTCCAAAACTGAACAATGAATAGAAAATCTGAATAGACTGCTTACTATATAGTAAAGAAAGTGAATCAATAAATAAGAACCTCCTAAAAAACAAAAGAACAGAGACAGACAGCTTCACCGGTGTTATAAGACAATTAATCTCTTTTATTAAAAAGGAAAAAGTGTTCTCACCACACAAAAAAAGGTAAATATATATGATGATGGATATGTTAATTAGCTTATTGGGTAATCATTTTACAATTATAGATATATCAATCATGTATACCTTGAATATATATAATTTTTATTTATCAATTCTATCGCAATAAATATGAAAAAAGAGTAAAAAATGTATATTATAGGGTAATCTTTTTTTAAGAAATACAAATATGCTAAGAGAGGAAAGAAATAAAATCACATAAAATGTTCAATTAAAACGGACAAAGCACAAAAGACATGACAAAAGACATGAAGAACAAACAAAACATGATGGGTCATATGGCTCAGTGGCTGAGCATCAACTTATGATGCAGGAGGTCATGGTTTGATTCCCAGTCAAGGCACATGCCCAGGTTGCAGGCTCAATCTCCAGTAGGAGGCATGCAGGAGGCAGCCAATCAATTATTCTCTCTCATCATTGATGTTTCTATCTCTCTCTCCCTTTCCCTTTTCTTTGAAATAAATAAAATTTAAAAAAAAAAAACAACAAAAGAAATAGAAAACTACCATAGCAATAACTTTCTTGAAATGGGCATTATGGAAGCAATAGTAGAAAAGCATCAGTAATTAATTAAAATAAAAAAGGAGCACTCATCCAGAATCAAGGAAAAATATGAAGTGAAAATTGCCATGGGTAGAAACATAAGTCACAGTTGGAGAAAGCCTTCAACTTCTTCTACCCAAAAATAACTTTTTTTTCCATGACCCTAAATATTAAGTCTAAAATATCAGAGATCATAAAATGATCAGCTGTAGAATCATCATGATAAAAGATTAAAAAGAGCCGAAACCGGTTTGGCTCAGTGGATAGAGCATCGGCCTGCGGACTGAAAGGTCCCAGGTTCGATTCGGTCATGGGCATATGGGGGGTGTACAAGAGGCAGCGGATCGATGATTCTCTCTCATCGATGTTTCTAACTCTCTATCCCTCTCTCTTCCTCTCTGTAAAAAAAATCAATAAAATATATATATTTTTAAAAGATTAAAAAGAAAGAAGCAGCCCCGTCCAGTTTAGCTCAGTGGTTGGAGCATTATCCTCCAGATCAAAGGGTTGCCAGTTTGATTCCCCTTCAAGGGTATGTACCTGAGCTGCATGTTCAATCCCCACCCTTGGTCGCACACATGCAGGAGGTAACTAATCAATGTGTCTCTCTCATGTCAATGTTTCTTTTTCCCTCTCTCCTCTCCTCCCCCTCCTCCTTTCCACTCTCTAAAAATCAATGTGAGAAAAAATCCTCAAGTGAGAATTAAAATCCTAATATATAAAAACCCTGGGTCCGTCACAATCGGAGGCTCAACCAACTGGAAGTCAGTCCTGCAGTCAGTGCTGGGTTGCTGTGGCAACCCAGCATTGACTGCTGTGGGGGCTATGAATCAGGCCTGGAGAGAGGCCTGAAGAGAGAATCAAGGTCTGATCCATAGCCTGTGTGGCAGCTGTTGATCAGCACTTGCCTCTCTCTTTCTCTCCAGGCCTGGCCAGCAGCCACACCTCTATTTTTCTCCAGGCCTCCACCTGGGCTGCTGATTAGCCCTGCCTTTTTTTATCAGTCCCTGTTAATAGGCCCAGAGACGCTGACTGGCATAGAAACTGACCAGTCAGAACCAAATTGGCCAGCAGAGGAAGGCAGTTGGGGACAAAATCAGGTCTGCAGTGGAGGGCAGATGGGGGTGAGATCAGGCCAACAGGGGAGGGCAGTTAGGGGTGATTAGGCAGGCAGAGGCAGTTAAGGGCGATCAGGCTGGCAGGGAAGGGTAGTTGGGTGCGAGATCAGGCCAGCATGGGAGGGCTCTTGGGTAAGGTGACCAGATTGTCCAGGTGTTGGCAGGATAGTCCTGATTTCTAACAATTTTCCCCCGCGTCCAGCAGCATTTTTAAAAAGTCCCAATTTTTTGGAAAGAAGCTTTCCAATGTTTCCAATCTTTCCAAAAATCGGGACTTTTTTAAAATGCCGCAGGACGGGGCAAAATTGTTAGAAATAAGGACTGTCCCGCCAACACCTGGACAATCTAGTCACCTTGGGGGATATATCAGGCTAGCAGGGAAGGGCAGTTGGGGGCAAAATCAGACCGGCAGAGGAGGGCAGTTAGGGGTGATTAAGCAGGAAGGCAGAGGCAGTTAGGGACAATCAGGCAGGCAGATAGGTTAGGATCGATCAAGCAGGCAGGTAGAGGGGTTAGGGACAATCAGGCTGGCAGGCAGAGGCAGTTAGGGGTTATCAGGCAGGCAGGCAGATGAGCAGTTAGGAGCAAGGGGTCCCCAATTGGAGAGGATGCAGGCTGAGCTGAGGGGACCCTCCCCCTGTACCCCTGTGCACAAATTTCATGCACAGGGCCACTAATATAATAATAAAAATAAACAAACATAAAATGTGGGATTGTCATAAACAGCTAAGTTTGAAATAATAATGAAACTTGATAGTTATCACTCAGTGCTATTAACCCTAAAGATATCTAACAGCTTTACTTTCAATATTCAGATATTAAATTAAAAATTACCTCCACCTTTTCAGTGAGAAAAAAACAATACCAACTTTCAAATCTGAATTGGTTATAAACAGAATCCTTAATCTCAAAAAAAGTATTTTCCTACTTGTTGAAAAGTAACTATGAGATATTGGATTTTCCTTAGTTTAGAATATAAGTTTACTTTTTGGTATACCCTATATCAGTGTTTCCCAACCTTCTCTCATGATGAGAATCACCTGGTGGAGTTGTTAAAACACAGATTCCCGGATCCCAACTAAGAAGTGCTAAACTAGAATTTTTGGGAACATATAAGTAAAATTGTATACTTAACTAGTGCTCTAAGACAGATTTTATATACAGAGCACTAAGTTAGGTATGCAATTTTACCTATAAGTTCTCAAAAATTCTAGTTTAGCACTTCTTAGTTGGGATCCGGGAATCTGTGTTTTAACAACTCCACCAGGTGATTCTCATCATGAGAGAAGGTTGGGAAACACTGCCCTATATGATGATTCATTATGAAAGTATTATGCTGAAAACACCCAATAGATGAAAAGATTATAAAACCTGGAATCTCAAGAGTTATATGTACTGGACACAGCTACTCTAACTGTTCAAAAGTCTCAGTTCCAGTTCTCATAGAGTTGATAGCTCAGAGATAATAAGTAGGAAAGTGCTTTGAAAACTATAAAGCTGCCATAAAATATTAAAGGCAAAAACCAAAGAAATTAATAGTAAATATATACACCATATCCTAAATTCACCAGTGTGAGTCACTATCAATGTTAAGTATCTTTTCCTAGGAAGCCTGATGCTAATGGGAGAAAAATATCAGATAACTGAGATTATTACATTGTGGCTTTATATTTCACCCATAAGGAAGCTGCATATTTTAATCTTCCTCTGATCTATCAATTTTCTAAGAGTTTGTGGATTCTCAGGAGTAAAATAAAATAGGATTAAGAATTCTAAGATAATTAATCAAGGTATAAATGGCTTTGAACTTTAGGGGATTACCATATTATATATGCACATTGTAGAGTTTGCTGCTATGTTATTTAAAGCAAAGCCAGAAAATGGAAAATTTTTCTTTAACCTTTTTCAACTGTGATTCCATTTTCAGACATTCCTCCTTCTTCTGCTCCAGAGCAATCTCTAGTGTCTTTAGCCGTGAGTCCTTTTTCAGCCCTGAGGAAGCCAGGGAAGAAGCATGCTCTTTCAGATCCAAGAGTGAAGCCTAAAGAAAGCAGCACACATCTAAAATAAATATTAACCATAAATAAAATGGAGATTTAAATTTTTAATTTTCTATTCTTAGTGGCTAGTAGTATCTTTCTGTTATCATATAGTGACATATTTCTATTTCAAGAACATGAAATATAAAACAATATTCACTTGTCCTAGCCAGTTTGGCTTAGAGGACAGAGCATTAGCCCAGGTCCTGGGTCCAATTCCAGTCAAGGGTACTTATCATAGTTGCAAGCTTGATCCCCGGCCCTGATCAGGGAGTGTGTGCAGAGGCAATCAAATGATGTGTCTCCCTCACATTGATGTTTCTCTCTGTGTGTGTCTGTCCCTCTCCCTTCTACTCACTAAAATCAATGGAAAAATATCCTCGAATGAGGATTAATAACAACAAAAACAACACCAAAAAATTCACTTTAACATCCAAGTCCTAACTAAAATAAGATGAATTCCCAAGAAATACCAATTGAATAATGGTCTAATGAGTTCAACCAATACATATCCATTCCCACAGAATAAATGGAAGTAGGTCAAGCTATGTGAACATAAGTAGTCAACCTCATTGGTTACACTGACTTAAATATAAAATACCTTTCCCTTTTAGAAGAAAAAAATCTAATAGAAACTTAAATTTCCATAAATTTTATTTAAAATTTTAGAAAGAATATCCTGAGGATATTCCTAAATCTCATGTATATTACCTTGAAGACATGGCATTAGCCATTTTTGCTACTTATGTCACATTAACAAGATACTCCAAAAACAAAATAAAAGTAGATTAAGACAACATTTAACATTTCTCTGCCAATGGTAAAAGCTGTTGTAAATAAATTGTTCTCCTTTTGCATATTCCTTTCATCTATCACCTTTTTCACCATTAGCACAATATTGTTCCAAATGTAACTGGGCTTCAGTTATTTTAGGATCTTTAAAAATGTCACTAACAAGTAAGAAATCAGCCAAAACCGGTTTGGCTCAATGAATAGAGCGTCGGCTTGGGGACTGAAAGGTCCCGGGTTTGATTCCGGTCAAGGGCATGTACCTTGGTTGCGGACATATCCCCAGTAGGGGGTGTGTAAGAGGCAGCTGATCGATGACTCTCTCTCATTGATGTTTCTAACTCTCTATCTCTCTCCCTTCCTCTCTGTACAAAAATCAATAAAATATATTTTTTTAAAAACAAGTAAGAAATCAATTCATACAGTGAAAGAGATAAGACATAGGAATTAAATGATCCAATCTACTCTGTCTCTGCAAAGCTTCCTTAAATATGCCATAAGACCTCCCCAAAAGGCTTGCCATGGGAATATTAGGAAAAATCGTCCAAACACTTTTTATATGTATTATGTAAACAGCAGCGAATACACAGAGCGCACTGAGCAAACCAAATGATTTCATTTTGGTGATCTTCACCTCTTTTTCTGAGAGGTCCCCTTGCAATAGGCTGACTTTTTCTTTCAAGTCTTTAAGATCTTTTTTGTAGTTATCAATTTCCTCTTGCTTCTCTCGCTCATCTCTGTCCCGTTGCTCCTTTAAGCGTTCAATTGTCCGCTCCTAGTAGGAGAGCACATCAATACATGAGAAAATTCCTTTCATACTTCTATCATATGACTATAGTTCAACTTTTATCAGATAAAATTTCATACTTCCACACACACATCCCCCCACTCAAAAGTCAGTGAAAATTGTCAATAATTTACTTTGTAAAGAATTCAGCCAAAACCAGTTTGGCTCAGTGGTAGAGTGTCGGTCTGCGGATTGAAAGGTCCCAGTTCGATTCCGGTCAAGGGCATGTACATTGATTGCGGGCACATCCCCGGTGGGGGGTGTGCAGGAGGCAGCTGGTCAATGTTTCTCTCTCATCAATGTTTCTAGCTCTCTCTCTCCCTTCCTCTCTGAAAAAAATCAATAAAATATTTTTTTTTTAAAGAACAAAAATTCATCCTTTCTACCTGCCTTGCTAAAACAAAGATCTGGCTTTGTTATTTTGATTCCCTTGGGTTTCTTTTCACATAATCTCAACAAGTATTAGATATCCCTAAAGCATGTATTCTTTTACAATAATTTCATTTATTCAACTCCCAAATACATTTTGAATGGAAACAACCCAATGGAAACTTACAATTCACAATACAAAAAAAAGGGGGGGTGGAGTTTATATGTTGAGTTTAAAACATAAAAAGGATAAAGAAGAGAAACCATTAAAAAATTTGTCAACAGATACTCAGGAAGTTTGAGGTTAAGTAATTAAAGTGTATCTCTGGTTATTAATATATTTACCAGTACATTCAGGAATCAAGCCTTGGTTCCTGGCAGGCAACTTGAAACATTGTGAATCTAAGATGCTTAAGGAGAGGCTCCATATCTCAGGGAGAAGAGGCTTAACGAACAGTGACCCAATTCCTTTAAAAATATCCTGGCCAATGTGGCTCAGTGAATGAGTGTCGACCTATGAGCCAGGAGTTAAGGGTTCAGTATCAGTCCCAGTTGCAGGCTTGATCCCCAGTAAAGGGTGTGCAGGAGGCAGCCGACCAATGATTCTGTCTCATTGTTGTTTCTATCTCTCCCTCCCTCTGCCTTCCTCTCTGAAATAAAATATATTTTAATTAAAAATATCCAGTTAAGCCGAAACCGGTTTGGCTCAGTGGTAGAGCGTCGGTCTGCGGACTGAAAGGTCCTGGGTTCGATTCCGGTCAAGGGCATGTACCTTGGTTGCGGGCACATCCCCTGTAGGGGATGTGCAAGAGGCAGCTGGTCGATGTTACTCTCTCATCGACGTTTTTAGCTCTCTATCTCTCTCCCTTCCTCTCTGTAAAAAATCAATAAAATATATTTTAAAAAAAATATCCAGTTAAAATGCCCCACTAAGAATCCTTACACATCCTTCATTACCACTCATGTTGGGCTTTTTAAAAAATTTTTATTAGACAACCATTACTGAAAACATTGGTTTGTTCATAAAGACAAAATGAAATAGCAAGGCCAAAACTAGAAAAAGAGCAAATACATTCATTGATTTAATAATTGAAACCCACAAATATATTAGGTTCCAATGAAACGTAACAAATGAGAACTAATTATATACTGCTTCCTAATGGTCAGTGTCTACTATTCCCATATCCCCAAATTCTAGTTGACCATATATAAAAATAACTTCTCTTTTTTCTTCACAAGATCATAGATGGAGCCCTAGCTGGTTTGGCTCAGATATAGAGCATAAGTCTGTGGACTTAAGGGCACTGGGTTCGATTCTGGTCAAGGGCACATACCACAGTTGCAGGCTTGATCCCAACCCCTCTTCCCCTCCACCCCTACAACACACACACCCTGGGTGGGGCACATGAGAGGCAACCAATTAATGTCTCTCACATAGATGTTTCTATCTTTGTCTCTCCCCCTCCCTTCCACTCTCCCTAAAAATCAATGGAAAATATTCTTAGGCCCTACCTGGTTTGGCTCAGTGAATAGAGGGTTGGCCTGTGGATTGGAGAGTCGTGGGTTCAATACCAGTCAAGGTACATGCCCAGGCTGTAGCTCAATCCCCAGAGTGGGGCGAGCAGAAGGCAGTTTCTATCTCTCTCTCCCTCTCCCTTCCTCTCTAAAATCAATAAAAATGTTTTTTAACAAAGGGAAGGCTGGGGAGTGTTGGGGAGGGAGGGAAATAGATCAATCAAAGGATTTGTAATGCATGTACACAAGACAATGGCAGGGTCGGGATGAGGGCATGTGACAGGGGGTAGGGGAGGCAGAGGGAAGGTCAATGCAGAAAAAAAAAAAAGGAGATATATGTACTAATATATGTAATACTTTAAACAAAAAAACTATTTAAAATATATATATACATATTTTTTAATATATGTCCATGGGTAAGGATTAACAAATAAACAAACAAAACCAAAAATAAAAATCATAAATGGGGAACATATGGCTAATTAAAGAAACTTCAGCCACTGCCCTGTAGGATAGAATCCATCTTGCCTAGGGACAGATACTTAAATTGCAACAATGAAATATATTTTCTTTTCCCTTATACTATGTATGCCAGAACAGTTCAGGGAGCTCTTTTCCCCTTTGCCAAAGGGATTTCTTCAGTATTCTAAATTTATTTATTAGATTATTTATTTATTTATTAATCTAATAAAAATGTATTAGATTAATGAGAAAGCAGGAGAAATGTGTATTACTGGAAAAGTCTGGACCAATCACTCACTTTCTCTGCCAGGGCCTCCTCCAACGTTGTCAAGGCAGTATCGGTGTTGGTGGTATCAGCCTGTAAGGATTTGACTCGTTCTTTCAAGCTGCTCATCTGCTTTTCCTTATCTCTAAGTTGCTCTTGAAGATTTTCAATCTGAGTATACATAAACATTTAAGGGGGAGGGAAAGAAATTAAAGTCACAACAAGAAAATTTTAAGTTGGAAACAGGTAGATCAGGGCTGCTGTGAGTGTGTAGCCTGTAGAAATAATTTCATCCTAAAGATTTCCGAACTGCAAGCAAAACTTTAAACCTAGAATTTATAGCCAGAACAGAGAAAAGATGTACACACCCATATACATGAATATCTAAAGAAATAAAGAAAGTACCTACAGAGAAAAGACCCAACATACAGAGATGGGGATAGAGAAAGAAACTATGGAGAGAAAAGCCACGAGAAACTGGATTACCTCCAAAATGACAGTGTAAATTCCCAGAGGAATGGCTTCACAAACAACAGAGGAAGGATAGAGAATGAGTAAGAAAAACGAATCAACTGTATAAGAAAAACTGGTTTTTCTATAATAATTTGTATTGAATTTATTAAGGTGGCATTGGTTAATAAAAATTATACAGGTTTCAGGCATATAATTCTATAGTATATTAACTACATATGGTATTATGTATTTACCAAGGAAAAACTATTCTTAACTCATACTGTTAAGTTAAATTTTTATATCATTTTTTTATCTAAACAGCAATTTAGCATAAGCTCTTTAAGGGCCGGCTTAATTCCATAGAGGAAGAAAAAAGAAATATCTGTTCTTAGAAGCGGAACAAATAAGAAAAGCAAAAAGATTTGGTAAATTTAGAATACGGTGCCATACATACTCTAAGGCTTGGATTTTTATTCTTTAACAAATAAATAAGTATACAGGTAAACTACTGATAAGCCTGCAATAGGTTCCAGTCTTATCAATAAAAGTCCATACCATGAAAGAAAAGATCATCACAAATGAAAAGCATTGTTTTTCCTTTAGTTTAATCAGACACTACTACTGGAATCTCACGTGGATTAGTATTTAGGTTGATCTCACAACCATTCAAAAGAATTTTGCCACTCAAAAATCTAGTGCATACTTTATATACATACAGAATGCAAACCCCTGGTGCTTACATGTTTAACCAGATACTCAGGTCATTCCAGTTGCTAAGATATAAACCTGATATGCACACACACACACACACACAAAAGGATATGGTCATGCTGTTGATTAAAGTGCAGTACAAAAACCATTATTTAAAATGAAATTTCACAGAACCAACAAAATATTATATACAAAAAAACAGAGATTTGTTTTATGAGCTCACCTTATATGCAAATAGCTCTTACATGCATAAAAATAACACCCTTCTTTCTCCTCCATCATTACTATCTAAGAAAGAATTTAGCCGGGACCGGTTTGGCTCAATGGATAGAGCGTCGGCTTGGGGACTGAAGGGTCCCGGGTTCGATTCCGGTCAAGGGCATGTACCTTGGTTGCAGGCATATCCCCAATAGGGGGTGTGCAAGAGACAGCTGATCGATGTTTCTCTCTCATCGATGTTTCTAACTCTATCTCTCTCCCTTCCTCTCTGTATAAAATCAATAAAAAATATTAAAAAAAAAAAGAATTTAAATTGTCAACAATTCTACTTGTCTGATTTACATGTAGTCAAACTATTAAAAGAATCCATTATTTTTGCTAGCAAGAACTTTTCCTAATAATGCTCAGGTGCAAAGGCTGCTAAACAGGTAAATCCCCATTAACAAGTTCTTCCTAAACTACTTTCTTCTTCAATTACCCAGATACCTAAACAGATTGACTGTTGTTGGGCTGGAAGGGAGGGAAAATAATGTCTATCCTTGGACTCCTACTTACTTTTAAAGTAGAGGAATAAATACTCCATAGTGAAAGGCACTGACAAAATGAAGATAGGACAGTGAACACTGAAAATACCTCCTTTGGGTAGGTTGCCATAAATGAGGAAGGCTTGAAATAGACATGTATGTGCAAACTAGCTGCACAAGCATGGAACAAACCCAAAAGATGCTATCATTTTTTCCTTTACCCAGATTCATGATGCATAACAGCTGAACTTTACTGAAAGCTCCTATTGCATATGTTCGCTTGGCTTGTGATTCAAAATTGTGCTTTTTTTTTTTTTTTTTTTAATCAAGGATATTTGGTTTATATGTGTTACTAACCAGCTGGTATAAGAATGCTACCACATTATTCTCTTCTTTTTTACTAATCTAACATTGAGGTTATAAAAGCTGTTCACCCTGAAAGTCCCATATCATATGATTTTAGTATTTATTATGTATTTCAATACAATTTATAGTGGATATCTTATTTTATATTCTTTAAATATCCACAGGGTCTGAAATATATGTCTTACAAAATGTTTTGAATACAATAGCCAAAAGAAAAACTGAATTTGTTATCTACATACTTGAATAATAATAGCAAAGATGATTGTTTGGAATCATATTAAGTGCATATAATTCTCCTTTAAATATGCTCAGAATATCTACAAATACACACACACACACACACACACACACAGCACAACTCTCCATTTTGTAGAAACAGAAACCACAGAATCCCTAAAATACCAATATAATACCAATAACGACAAATAATAATAATAATAATAATAATAATGGTAGTGGTGATAACAAGGACCACTAACACACACAAAGGAGAGAGTAGTATGTTAAGTGGCAGACACTGTTGTAAAAACTTTATATTTAGGAACTATTTAAGTATCATCACAAAACTATGAGATAACTACTAGCCAATCTAGCTAAAGAAACCTACCCTTTTTAAAAATATGTATTTTATTGATTTTTTACAAAGATAAAGGGAGAGGAATAGAGTGTTAGAAACATCAATGAGAGAGAAACATCGATTCAGCTACCTCCTGTACACTCCCTAGTGGGTATGTGTCCACAACCAAGGTACATGCCCTTGACCAGAATTGAATCTGGGACCCTTCAGCCTGCAGGCCGATGCTCTATCCACTGAGCCAAACCAGTTAAGGCAACAGAAACCTACTCTTAATCACTATGCTGTAAATAATATGTTTTATGATAAAAAAAAAAAAAGGAAAAAAACAATCACACAAAGGTGACTCAAGCATCTTTCCATGACCTATTCCTTATTATTAAAGATTATTAATAAGCACAATATCTTATTTCTATGGTCATTTATATTAAAACTAGAGTCTCAGTGCACAAAAACTCAGTGGGGGGTACCTCAGCCCAATATGAACCCTCTCCAATCTGGGACCCCTCAGGGGATCTCCGACTGCTAGTTTAGACCTTATTCTAAACCAGCAGTCAGACATCCCTCTCACAATCCTGGACTGTTGGCTACCAATCGCTTGCCTGCCTGCCAGCCTGATCACCCCCTAACCACTCCCCTGCCAGCCTTATCGACACCTAACTGTTCGCCCCCAAGTGCTCTCCCCTGCCCCTAAGTGCTCTACCCTGATTGCCCTAGCGGTCTCTACTTCGGACCCCACCACCGTGGCTTTGTCCAGAAGGACATTCGGATGGATGTTCAGAGGATGTCTGGTCTAATTAGCATAGTCTCCTTTTATTAGTATAGATAACATATATGCTCCTAAAAAGTTATATTATTTTACACACTTTAAATTATACAGTACATTCAACCCCTTTTACCCTGTTTTGTTTTTTTTTCCCCCTAAATGTATCTTATTGATTTTTTTCACAGAGAGGAAGGGAGAGGAATAGAAAATTAGAAACATAGATGAGATAGAAACATCAATCAGCTGCCTCCTGCACAACCCCAACTGGGGATGTGCCCGCAACCAAGGTACATGCCCTTGACCAGAATCGAACCTCAGACCCTTCAGTCCACAGGCCGATGCTCTATCCACTGAGCAAAAGTGGGTAAGGCCCCCCCCCCCTCGACTTCTTCTTTTTTCTTTTTAGATTATCCACATTTGTAGATATGGCATTAATTCGTTTTCCATTGATTTTTAGAGAGAGTGGAAGGGAGAGGGATAGAGAGAGAAACATCAATTCAAGAAACATCCCTTCAATTGCCTTCCATAGGAGCCCTGACCAGGGATCCAACTTGAAACCCAGGTATGTGCCAGTTTGTTCACTGACCTGGAATCAAACCTGCAACCTTTCAGTGCACAAGACCACGTTCAATGCTCAACCAACCTATCCACTTCAGCCTGGCTGTTATTTAATTTCTGGAATTTTATTTCTTTTTTTTTCTTTTTTTTAAATAAATCTTTATTGTTCAGATTATTACAAATGTGATCCTCTTCCCCCCCTCAATTGCTCCCCTTCACCAGGTTCCCACCCCACCCCCTGTCCTTTCCCCATCCCCCATTGTCCTCATCCATAGGTGCAGTTTTTGTTCAGTCTCTTCCCGCACCCCTACTCCCCTTTTCCCTGAGAATCGTCAGTCGACTCCCCTTCCATACCTCTGATTCTATTATATTCAACAGTTAATATTGTTCATCAGATTTTTAAATTCCCTTGGTTTTTAGATTCACTTGTTGATAGCTATGTATTTGTTGATCATAATTTTTATCTTTATCTTCTTCCTCTTCCTAAATAACCTCCTTCAGCAATTCATATAATTCTGGTTTGGTGGTGATGAACTCTTTTAGCTTTTTTTTATTTGTGAAGCTCTTTATCTGTCCTTTGATTCTGAGTGATAGCTTTGCTGGGTAGATTATTTTTGGCTGTAGGTTCTTGTTATTCATCACCTTGAATATTTCTTGCCATTCCCGTCTGGCCTGCATGGTTTCTGTTGAGAAATCAGCTGACAATCTTATGGGTGCTCCTTTATAGTTCACTACCTGCTTTTCTCTTGCTTCTTTTAATATTCTCTCTTTGTCTTTTGCTCTTGGAATTTTAATTATGATATGTCTTGGTGTGGTCCTCCTCGGATTCCTTTTGTTTGGGGTTCTGTGGGCTTCCTGGACTTGTAAGTCTATTTCTTTCCCCAAGTGGGGGAAGTTTTCTGTCACTATTTCTTCTACAATAGTACTCTTTCGGTATCTTGCTCTCTCTCTTCTGGAATCCCCATAATTCTGATGTTGGTTCGCTTGAAATTGTCCCAGA